ATAAAACAAGGTCAGCTTATGATTCCAGCACTTGGGAGTCTGAGGCAGGAGGATTGCCATGAGTTTGAGGCCAGCCTGGGCTATGTAGTGAGTTCAAGGCCAGACTGTATTACAAAGTCAGACCTTGTCTCAAAACGAAACAAAGCACAAGATCAGTCTCTTAGAGTTACCATCCTTGCTTCCCCCTGCGCAGGAATGATTCCCTCCACTTTTCGCTTGATTTTTCTTTTGCCTTTTAATGGTTTTCTCATATATGTGTGCATTGCTAAACAGTACTGATAAACAAGCATAGGAAGCCAGGAAAGGAAAGGACAATTTGGTATTAGATGCAAATTCCTAGAAGAGGAGGTGCTGGACAGAACCTGTAGGTATTGGTGTGGCTGTCTCTAGCTTCCCTGAAGGTTTTCTGAGATCAATGGGCAAGGTTATGATGGAGTCCTGGGAAAGACAAAGCTCACTGCAGTGAGAGCTTGTGGCATATTCTAGAGGAAATATGGTCAGGGCAGCAGGCTGCTCTGTGCTTTCTGCTCTGGAGCTTGCTCCTATCTCTTTCTCTCAGGAGCAGTTTGGAGCAGAACTCTTGATCAGGTAGCAGAGAATGGAGGGAAGCCTTGTAACTTATAACCCTTGGTCAGGAGAAAGCAAGTACAAATAAGAATGGAGGCCAGGCTCACCAGACATTCTGAACTAAGGTTCCAAAGACAGTGCCTTGGTAGCAGGAATCTTGTAAATGACAGCTGTCAATATGTCTGCCTGCTTCAATCTGAATTGACGTTCTTCTCCTTGTGGTCCACAGCTGACATCCTAATATCTCCCTTCACCATCTTCCAATGAGCTTCTAACTTTACCTCTTTCCTGTGCTGGACGTGTTTCCTGCATTCTGCATCGCCTACTTTTGCTTTACTCCTGGTTTTGGTGGCGCACTTTCTCTATCAGCTTGCTCAGAAACTGTGTGGGAGGTAAGTGTCCTGGTTCTGCAAATGTATGTTGTAACTTACTTGGTTGATAGTTTAATTATGTTTAAATTCTAAGCTTAAATACATCTTCAAAAATTAAAAAGTATTGCTTTAACCTCTAGTAATGCAGTTGAGAATTTTGTATAATTTCTTACATTTGTTACTTTGTACATTACTCTTTTTTTCTAGAAGTTCCTGGAGTCTTCTGTTTAATATGCTCTGGTGTGAGTTTATTTTCATCCACAATGCCAGGGTCTTGGTGAACTTACAATCGGGCAACTCAGGTCCTCCTGTTCTGGAAAATTTACTTGAATTAGTTAATTGATGATTTCCTCTGACCTTTGGTTTTTCTTTTTAGAACTTCTATTTCTTTGATGTTGATCTGGAATTGTCCTCTTATTTTTGTACTATATTTTTTTATCTCTCTCTTTCTTTTCATTTTTTTTTTTTTGTACCAGGGATCAAACTTGGGACTTTGCACTTGTGAGGCAGGTGGTGACAGAACCTCTGAGCTAAATCCCCAGCTCTTAGTATGTTTATTATACTTACGGAAATTTGATCAACTTTATCTTCTGATTTTCTATAAATTTTTTGCTTCTGCTATCATGATTTTCTATTCCTTTTATAAAATTAAAAAATTTTTATTAATGCATAGTGATTACATTCATCGTGAGGAGTGGGTACATTTACATAACACATCTTAATTCTTTTTATGTCTCCTCCCTTTCTCCCTCCAGCCTTTGGTTCCCTCCCCATTTGTAAACAGTCTATCTCCCTGAGATTTTATTTTCTAAAACATTATTACTGCTATTGCTGTTCTCTGAATCTCTGAGTGTTCCTTTGTATGGAATCCTGTTTTATTGTTGTCATTGTTGTTGCGGTGGTAGTGGTTTTGTTTTCATTTTTCGTTTTTATTTTTCATGATGAGTATTGAACCCAGGGCCTTGTGCATCTAGGCACATGCTTTACCACTGAGGTACATCACCAACTTTTTAAATTTTATTTTGAGACGAAATCTTGGTAAGTTTCCCAAGCTGGTCTGGAATTTGTGATCCACCTGCTTCAGCCTCCCTAGAACCTGGGATTACAGTTGTGCACCACAGCACCTGTCTGGCATCTTACTTGTATATCATGGATGTAGCATCATCTCATTCCCTATAGCTACTAGTAAACAGTCTTTTTAATGCCCTTTTTCTCTCTGTATAACCAGTTTCCTCCATGTTATTTTTTCATTGTTTGTTTTGTGTCTCTCTTTTGTGTTAGAAAATGTCATAGATGTCAGATGATCTTGGGTCATGATTAAGGTGGTATATGAGCTTCCAAGCTCATAACATGAGTTTGGCTCTGTAGAATGATCTATCTGGACTGTATCTGCAGAACCAGATGTCAGTTTCTATGGGTCTTTCCTCTTGGGCTGGTGAAATGCCCCATGGTAGTAGTCTTCCAGTCTCCAGCCTGGAGAACAAAGATCCTGCTCCCACCACTGTGGGAGTCTGGCTGTGAGAGAAGCCTCAAGTCCCATTACCTTCTGTCTTAGCTTCTTCAGAAGAAAACATCCATATCCTGGCTGGAACATGGAAAGGATTGTTGCCCCGTGGTTTAGAGTTAGGGAAGAGACCTAGGAATCTAACACATTTCACCTTAATCTTTAGCCATCACTTCCGCAGTTACAGCGGTACCTTGGACTGCCAGTTTCTGTGCCTTCTGAGAATCATGCAATGTAAATCAAGCTGACTCCCAGTTTCCCTACTGCCAGTTGGAGAGGTCTTTTTCCTCAGTGTTAAGTCAGTCACCACATGACTGCCTAGCATCAAAAATCCTGCTGCTGTTGTCTCTTGTCCCGGTCACTCTATCTTTAGAGGTTTATCTCTTGATTTAAAAACCCTTCCACTGAAGTTTTAATAGAGTTTTGGGAGAGAGTGGAATTAGATGATGCATTCAATCACTATCTTAACCCAGAACCCTAACTTCCCATTTCAATATCTTTTTCCAAATAAAATGCCTAGGAATAACCCTACTTGGTCACAGAGGATTGCTATTTTAATGTACTGGGGAATGTTTATTTCAGTCTTTCTATTTAGAAGACTTTAAGTGAATATTATTAGCAGGAAATGAGACTTTCTATGAGGAGGATTCAAAGAAAATGTCTCCAGTGGGACAGCTTTTATTAAGCATATGAAAGACAACCAGAAACTGAGCCCCAGTATTGCACTGTCTTGAGGCAACCCCTAATGGAGTGTGGGAGGTGAGGGGAGCCCAAAAGCAATGCCCAGTGGTGCAATTTAGAGGACGCCCCTGCAATGTTTTGTTTGGGGATCCAGAATAAATCCCAGTCTTTGTCATTGAGTGGTCTTGAGAGGAGCTCAGTTGGTACCCTGATTTCTACTTGTATCAACGGCAGGGGAGGAGTTCTGGTGTGGGAGGAAGGGAGTCCCAGATGTCTCTCTGAAATGCATCTCATTGCCCACGTGGGCCCCAGAATCATTCACTTACCAAATAGCCACTGAGCATCTACCATGAGCAAAGTGTGAAGTTGGCTCTCTGAGACAGAACCTGCCCTAGGTAATCCCCCCCCGAAATGGGGCCCCACATTCATGCTCGGAACTGGTCTTGAACTCTGCATCCTCCTGCCTCAGCATTCTGAGTAGCTAGGATTATAGGCACTACACTCAGCTGCCTAGGAAATTCTTTAAGTACCCCAGCCCCCATCACGTTACAGAGCAAAAGGGGGTATAGCTGGAAAGGCAAAAATGTAACACAGCGACAGTAATTTTTATCACTCTGGCTTGTGATTCAGAAGAAGAGAGGATCGCTTCTCAGCTTTTTAGCTAAGATCAAGTGCAGAATAAGAGGAGACTCAGCATCCAGCATAGTGCTCTCAGCACAGTGGGATGGATGTCTGGATTTTGAGGGAAAGCTTTGATTGGTGAGGGGAATCTCAAATGACTTATGTTCTCCTATGCTTTTTAATACTAGCATTTTTGGAAAAACCATGAAAGCAGTTAGAGACTTACAGCAGTTTGTCAGAACTCCTTCAGGCAGTCACTGCTACAGCCTGTCTGGGTGGGAAACCAAGTGCTCAGTGCGCTTGGTTCTCCTCTCCATTGGACCAGCTGCCTGTGTGATGGTGAATCTTGACTGTCAGCTTGATTGGTCTGAGAAATGTCTACAAGATTAGTAAAGCACACTTCTGGTGTCTCTGTGTGGAGCGTGCGAGTGTGACTTGGTCCCTTTCCTTGGTCCTGGTTCTTCCCCTGCTCTCTGTGTCTGGGATGTCGGGGGCTGAGCAGCTATCTTCTGCCATGACACTACTGCCTTGAAGCCAGCCAGCCATGGCCTGACATCTCTGAAACCATAAGCCAAAGTAAACCCCTCCTGCTAAATTGTCAATGTCAGGTATTTTGTCCCAGTAATGGAAATCTTATCCATACAGCTTGGGTTCTCATGTTCCCTGGAAGATGGGTGCTGTTACTTGGATTTTGTCCTTCTCCTGTTTTTTTTTTTTTTTTTTTTTAATAGGAGGAATTGAACTCCAGACCTTGTGCTTGTGAGGCAGGTGGCGGAACCTCTGAACTAAATCCCTGGCCCCTTTTCCTTCACCTTCTCGTTGGAAACAAGTTATAATCCACCTCTCACGAAGCAGCTCAGCTCACTACTCTTCCCCACTGACAAAAACTGTATTTTTCAAAGATGTATTTGGCAAAAAGAAATGTTACAGCAGGGCTTGACACTTGGCAGTTGGCCTGTGAAGTGTTGGAGGCACTCCTCTGCAACAGAACAACCATTTGCAAAACACCAGGTGATGGAGAGGGCAGGCGGAGAGATTGAGTTCAAGTCTCTGTCAAGCTGTGTAATCTTAGGCATTTTCCTGGGTCTGAATTTACCTATCTGGAAAATGGGGACATTCACAGGCTTGTGGTGAGGACTCCTAAGGTAAGGTTATAATACTTATACTAAAAGCTCAAAAGAGAGGCTTTTATGACCTGGGAGACTATCGGGGAAGGGTGCTGTGTGTGCGCACGCACGCACCGTGGCTTGGCCCGCGGGTGTGTTCCCTGGGGTTGACGTGCCTGTGGATGTGCTTGCTGGGCGGCTCTGGGAGTTCGCGGTTGCCAGCAGCAGGCCGAAAAGGAGGCGCCCAAGCTCGCCGAGGCTGACTGGCAGCGCGGGGTGAATGAGTGCTCACGGAGCCTGGGATCGAGGCGGCCGCTGCTGGCGCTGCTGTGAGCGCCCGCCCGAATAGGGGGCGGATCTCGGACGGTGGGCTGGGTAGGAGGGAGAGAGCGAGGGAGGAGGGCGAGGAGCTGAGGGAGG